TGTCAGATCTAGGACCTGAACCACATCAGCCATGTGGGAGTCCAGTGCTTTAACCACCACACTACCTGCTGGCCCCCGAGCATTTTTTTGGGTATAGCTTTGCTGGTTTCTATTAAGTCCAATGAGGCTGGACGAGAGACTCTTCTTGAGTCATGTGGGAAAGAAGCAGAGGTGAGTAGGAGGACTTCAGGGTAAAGATATTAAGAAGTTGATTTCTTCTTTCTTTCCCTCTATTAGATCCTTTGGACATTAACCCCAGCGTAGACTTCTTATTTGATTGTGGCCTGGTAGGGCCTGAGGATGTGTCTACTGAACAAGACCTTCCCCGAACCATGAGGAAGGTGAGGGCCTGGGGCTACTATATCCACCAAAGGATGGGGGGTGGGGGCAGGGGGGGCAGGCAAAGGCGGAGTGATGCTCTTGTAGTCATGCCACCCAGCTGAGTTTGACCTTCCCTAATTTTCTTTCTCTGGCACAAGGAGGACTGAGCTAAAGCCACACTTTGTTGTCCCCCTAGTCTTCAAGGTTAGCAAAGCTGTTCCTGGGGTCCCAATCTTTAGAAGCTCTCTATGTCCTTACATCAGTTCACACCCTCCCTCTCAGGGTAAACTGTGTCCTGACTAGCTTCCATAGTGTCCCTGGCCTTACCTATGCCAGCTCTCTCCTTTCTCTTCCCTTCCAGGGTCAGAAGCGACTGGTGCTTTCAGAAAGCTGTTCCCGGGACTCCATGAGCAGCCAGCCTAGTTGTACTGGACTCAACTATTCGTATGGCGTCAATGCTTGGAAGTGCTGGGTACAATCAAAATACGCCAATGGAGAAACCAGCAAGGGTGATGAGCTGCGCTTTGGCCGTAAGTACCAAGAGGAGGAAGGCATGGATGGGGAAGAGGGGAAGGGGATGAAGAGACTGGGCCTGTGATTCGGCGGCTGAAGATGTCCAGGGTTGATAAGGATGTGATTACTTAAGGGTGTCTTCTGAAGATGGGGAGTTGTTCTAGATTTAAGGGAGATGCTGTCTAGTGTCAAGGTTGAGGGCCTTTTTGTAATTGGTGGCTTTGTTCAGGAAGGAGCTAGATGTAACTAAGGGATGAACGGGTTATCGGTGGTGAAGCTAAGTGAAACTCTCCATGTGGAATTTTCTTAATCCCGTCCACCTTCATCACATATCACTGCAGCCAAACCCATGCGTATCAAAGAGGATATTCTCGCCTGCTCGGCTGCTGAGCTCAACTATGGTTTGGCCCAGTTTGTGAGAGAAATCACTCGGCCCAACGGCGAACGATATGAACCCGACAGTATCTACTACCTGTGTCTTGGCATCCAGCAGGTACCCCATGCACACTGCCTGGCTTCTTGTCACTCCCAACATGGCAGGCAGAGTCCTACCAGAGATGATTCTGCCCTGCTCCCTGTTCCCCACCTTATCTTGTACACTCAGCAGGCAGCTTGCCTTTAATCTCCTGCTCCAAATAGGATGCAAGATGTCAATACTTTTCGAAATCAAAGCTGCATTTCAAGATGTTGGTTAAGGAGTGGTCTTCATTACTGGCTGGATCCGTTTTGTAATCCTTAAACCCATTCTAGAAGTGGAAGGGTGGGTAGAACTGGAGTCCTTGAGTGGTAGGATAATGTTTAGTTCCCACTAGGAGAGGTCAGTGACATATTACCTGACAAAGGAAGGTCTGGGTTCTAAAGAGCTTCTGCTCCAAGCCTCTTCCTCTTGCAGCCAAGCCTCAGTGCTTCAGAGTTGTAGCTATACCTGGGGGAAAGCACTCTGGGTCCCTTAATCAAACAACTGTTTTCCATGGTATCCCATCAAGGACACCATGCCTGGAGCCTTCAGCATCATTGTCTTTTTTCTAGAACCTACAGCCTGGCTTTATATGTGTCTATTTTTCTTTCTCCAGTACTTGCTAGAAAATAACCGAATGGTGAACATTTTCACGGACCTTTACTACCTGACTTTTGTTCAAGAACTCAACAAGTCTCTGAGTACCTGGCAGCCCACACTCCTCCCCAACAGTAAGGGACAAGGACTTAGCAACCCTTAAACTGTGTCCTCCATTTTCCCCATATACCATTCCAAGAGTCCTGTGCTGTTTGGTTGACCACTCTTTCTGCCCTGTCTGAGGTCAGGAGTCTAGCTGGATGACTCAGGGTTTAGAGCTAGAGAAACAGGAGCCCCTGTCCTTCCATAAGACTTAGGTCTGAAAAGCTATCTCTGGGGCAAAAGGAGATGGTCTGAGTTTGGGTGCCAAGTGAAGAAAGAATGCAAGGGCTTATTACATCTTTGGGGTGGTGAGAGAAGCTCCAAATGCAGGTGGGAAGGATATAAAATAAAACAAAACCCAGTCCTACTATGTAGTGGAGCAGAGTGTCAGAGGTTTGTGTATGAGAGTCACTCACTGAACGAGCACCATGTGGTAAATGCCTGTGAGCAGAACCCCTGGGATCAGAAGTGGTTGGGTTTGGATAGTTGATCCCTCCTGACCAGCCTGTCCTCCTGACTATTGCAGATACGGTGTTCTCCCGAGTGGAGGAAGAGCACCTCTGGGAGTGTAAGCAGCTGGGGGTCTACTCGCCTTTTGTCCTTCTCAACACCCTCATGTTCTTCAACACTAAGTTTTTTGGGCTGCAGACAGCTGAGGAACACATGCAGCTCTCCTTCACCAATGTGGTGCGGCAATCTCGCAAGTGTACCACCCCTCGGGGCACCACCAAGGTGGTGAGCATCCGCTACTATGCCCCAGTCCGCCAGAGGAAAGGGCGAGGTATGATTGCCCCCTTTCTTTGCTTTGTCCCCCTCTCTGCTTTTCCTATCCTCTGTAACTACCATACCTACTAGGTTGGCCCTCTCCTTTCCACTGGCTTCCCTTTCCTTCCATTCTTGTGTTTGCAAAAAAGGTGAAAATGACCAGTCTTGGGCTGGTCCCATGGCCTGGTGCTTAAGAGAGCTGGATCCCTCATGGGTGAGTACATGGCTTGAATCCTGTCCCTGGAAGCTTGAAAAATATACCAGGCACATGTATGCGTATGCCCCAAATTGCAACAGGACAGAGAGATGGAGGAGGGGGATTGCTACATGACCATGCCCCAATGGGGAGGTGCTTTTCCCCTCTCTTCCTTTCTCTCTGTGTCTTTGTGGTGCACACATCCACCTTTTAGCAAATTTTTTTTAAATGGGGAGGGGGCTGGGACCAGCAGATGGTGTAATGGTTGCGTAGCTGGACTCCCACGTAGTTGACCGTGGTTCAAGTCTCAGACCTGGCAGCTTAAAACTCATGCCGTTGCATGCATGCCCAAAATCCCGAGAGAGAATAGAGGAGAAGGGATTACAGTATAGCCATTCCTCCTGGTGGGGTAATTTCTCATTTTCTGTCTCTGTCTCTGTTTTTCTGGTGAGCGCGTGAGCCCTAAAGCAAAAATCTCTCTTAAAAAAAAAAGAAAATGGTCAGTCCTCTCTGGCAGGCAGTGGCTGTTGTACATATAGGCCATCACCCAGCTGTTTGTTTCCCACCTCTCTCATGTCAAGGCAGTTTAATTGCTTTTTTTGGGGTGGTGGACAAGCAGGAAGCTGTTGGTGTGTCTGACCATGGGAGAGAGCTGACAGAGTGAATGATAGGCTTCCCATGATTCTTTGCTATCTATCAGGCATAACAGGAACTGCACCTCAGTTTCCTATCTTTCTGGCTCTGGAATTTTGTCCTCTCTGAGCATCTGAGCAGTTTCCAAGGCCCCTTCTCTGGACCTGCATTTCCACCCAGACTGATGCACAGGGGGTTGGGGCCATCACTATTTTTCTACTCCTGAAGGCAAGCGCAGTTTGCAGTAGGGTCTGTCTTATCAGCTTGTATAACCTCTAAGGTCACCTGTTTAAGAAATCAACTTGGGGAAATTATAAAGAAAGATTTTGGGGGCTGGCAGATGGCATTGTAGTTAGGGTGCTGGACTCCCACATAGATGACCACAGTTTAAGTCCCAGACCAGGAGGCTTGTTTTTTCCCCTCTGTCTCTCTGGTGGGCACACATGCCCTTAGCAAAATTAATAATAATAATTAATAAAATAAAATAAATAATAAAATAAGGATTTTGGCAGCAAGAGCCTGGGAGGGCTACAGAGCAGTACCTCTTCAGTATGTTTGGTTGGTATGGAGAGACTGATTCTTCAGCCTTTCTTTCTTTTTGGGACTGTATTTTGCATTCCAAGGTGCCCTGGACTGTGCTCTTAGAGATGGCTCATTGAGCCTGTGCTTTTAATGAGTCTAGGTTTCCCTTCCCTACAGACACAGGTCCTGGCAAACGGAAGAGAGAAGATGAAACTCCTATCTTAGAGCAGCGTGAGAACCGCATGAACCCTCTCCGCTGCCCTGTCAAATTCTATGAATTCTATCTCTCAAAATGGTGAGTTAGCAGGTTTGCAGGAGTGGCATTAGCATGGGGACCCAAGGGATCTACTTTGTCTTGGTACTAATCTGTCCTCTCATCCCCATCCCCACCATTGCAGTCCCGAAAGCCTCCGGACTCGCAACGATGTGTTCTACCTGCAACCGGAACGATCCTGCATCGCTGAGTCACCTCTCTGGTATTCTGTGATCCCCATGGACCGCAGCATGTTGGAGAGTATGCTCAATCGCATTCTGGCTGTGCGGGAGATTTATGAGGAACTGGGTCGCCCTGGGGAGGATGACCTGGACTGAGCCCATGTGCCATCCGTATCCATCTTACACATCAGTTTCTATCCTGTAGTCATGTCCCACAGTGTGACTGGCCCAGGAACCAATGCTACTCAATGCTGAAGGGCCCCAACTGCCCCTTCCTACTCACCCATTCCCTGCCTTCCCTAGGAACCACGGGCTTTTACCTTATTCCAGACCATTGGACAACCATGGGGTTGAGTTTTCTGTACTCAGGGGCTGGTCTCCCAGTGATGGGCAGACACCAGCTAGCCCATTTCAGTATGCTTTGGAGTAAACCTCTTCTGGGGCCAGACTCTTGAGCAGAGTGCTGACAGCTCTGGATATCCTGGTGGCTTTGGGTCTCTGACCTATCCTGCATAGGTAAAGCCTCTTGTTCCTAGGTTTGACCTAGGAAAGAACCCAGCTGCCTTCTCTGCCCTGTGTCCATCCCTTCTCCACCCTTATCCAGTACCACACGAAAGGGTCTTGTCTGCAAGGTATCGAAGAAACTGAAAGTAATGAGGGGACCATTTACCTAAAACACAGAGCTTAGACACTCTTCCCCTCTTGTGAAGTATTATTGGTCATTGGCTCCCTCTCACCACCGTGTCCCTCACCTCACCCAGCAAGCACCAGCCCTTGGTGCTGCAATGAAAAATCTTCCAAATGCTTTCTTTTTCTCAAAGGCAAAGAATGACTCTTAATTATGGGGAGCAGACTCCGTGTGCAGACTCCTGTCCCCTTGGTTTATGTGTTTGTCTCTCTCTGCCATCTTAGGTTGGCATGAGCCATGGTGTCAACATGCTTAGCCCCCCTCTGTAACTGCCTCCCTTTAGTTCAATGGACAGAGCTCCCAAGGCAAAAACTACCTTGCTACTTGGGTTGGGGCTGGGTTCCCCACTCTTGTATTCCTCTATAATAAGAGCCGGGCCAAGACTAGGGTGGGGGGGTCTGGGCCATGCAGGATGGGGTCTGGTCAAAGGATAGGTGAGGAGCTGTGGTGTGGGCCCTCCTTTCTGCCTACGTCTTCCCCATCTTGCTGGTATAGTCTCAGAAAATTAGTAGCGGCGTCTGGCAAAGGGGGTACCCAGTTCTTTCCCAGTTGGCTTTGCTGTTCCCCAGCCTCCTTTTTGTGTTTTTATAACTGTCACCAGTTTAGCCACTGTTTAAAGTGTATATATTGTTCTGAGGCGCCTGGCCTGTCCCTTCAGTGAGCCATGCCCGCCCTTGTGTTGTAGTGAGAAGCTGTTGTCACGACTAACCTTCTGTCTATGGAATTGTTTGTTTCAAATAAAGAGTTAAAATTGTCTTTTGCCTTTTGTGTGGGGTAGTATTTGGAGAATGAGGGATATAGAAAGCAGCGTTGGAGAACTTAACATTTCTCAAAGTGCAAGAGTCCCACCTCAGTTTGAGGATCATTCTTACCGGCCTCACTGAATGAATCCACTGAGAATGTGGTCCTTTTAATTAATTAATTAATTTTTGGAGAGATTTTTGCTATAGGGCGTGTGCACTTGCCAAGAAAGAGAGAGAGAGAGAGAGAAAGCTGCAATCCCTTCTCTTTCATTCTCTTCTCAGGATCTTGGGCACGCACACATGCCTAGTGTGAGTTTAAAGCCACTGGGTCTGGGACTTGAACTGTGGTCGACTACATGGGAGTCCAGCGACATAGCCATTACGCCAAATGCTGGTCCCTGGTCCCAACTTTTTATAAGAAATTTCCAAACCTTTTTTTTTTTTTTTTTTTGGTAGAGGTTTTTGCCTTAGGGTGTGTGTGCTTGCCAGGGAGAGAGAGAGACAGTGAAAAGGAAAGTGAGAAATCACCCCTGGGGTGGAGGATGGCCATGCTACAATCCTTTCTTCTCCCTTATCCAGGGATCTTGGGCATGCACACACAATGTGCCCAGCATGAGTTTTGTTTTTTTTTTAAGGAATTATTTTATTACCTTTATTTATTTATTCATTTTAATTTGACCAGAGAGGAACAGGGTGAGAGAGAGAGAGAGAGAAAGCTGCCAGGTTCAGGACTAACTGCCCTCAGCCATGTGGGAGTCCAGCACCCTTAACCACCACGCCACCTGCCGGTCCCCCAGCATGAGCTTTAAGCCACCAAGTCTGGGACTCAAACTGTAGTTGACCACGTGGGAGTCCAGTGACACAATTGCTACGCCATCTGTTGGTCCCTCCAAATAGCCCCCTCCACTTGTTTTTAAATTTGTGAGAGGGTACATGTGCTCAGTGGAGAGAGACAGAGAGAGGGAGAGTGAGAAAGCATCCCCCATAAGGAATAAGTCATGCCACAATCCCTTCTCTTTCACCTCCTTTCAGAATTTTGGTACACACATGCACCTGGTGTGTTTCTCAAGCCACTGGGTTCATGATTCCAACTACAGAGTCAGCCATGTGAGATCCAGCTGCTTTAACCAGTAGTCCACAGGCTGGCCCAGTTTCCAAACATTTAAAATTTTGAGAGGAGAAAGAACTGCAGTGTGGCCATCTCTCACCCCCAGGGGGGCATGATTTCTCACTTTCTCTCTCTCTCCTGGAGCATACTTCCCTATACCAAACTAAAAAAAATCAAAACAAAGGAAAAAAAAAAAACCAAACACATGCTTCAGAAAAGACAGAGATTAATTAGACCAGGATCCTATCCCCAGCAGGCTCCCAGGCTAGAAGGAACACCAACCAGTATACAATGAGTTGAAGTATATGCAGAATGAAATAGTGTATGTGAGAGCAGAGGAATAAGAAACTCGTTTTCAAGTTTACAGGGAGGTTGTGTGAGTGTTCACTAAGGGAGGTGCCATTTGACCTGGGCCTCAAAGACTATGTGGGAGGAGTTGAGAGACGAGGTGTAGGGGCAGGAAGTGCAAAGCTGAGATTTCCCCATGAGGAAATGGCAGGCTCATATTGTTGCTTTAGTGAGAAGGTCTCTAGAACAGTAATGAAGGATGTGGGATGGGTGGGGGTGGGGCAGGCCTAAATGCTTGGAGTGAAAGCTGTGTGGCTAAGAGAGTGTGAGCCTCCATGGGGGCGGTGGGGATAGGAAAGAAAAAGAGAAGATGGATTCAAAATAAATGTCTCTCTGAAGTTGATTTCATGAGAGAGACAGGTGCCTCCAACAGAGTCTCATCATACCCTGATCCCCTTCCTCCAGCCCTCCAGCCATTCAGGATCTTGTACCTGTGGATGCCTGGCGTGTTTCAGGCTGACTTGGGGTGCAAACTCATGTCTGGCCATGTGGTTGCCAGGACTGCAAAACGGTATTCCCCTGCCTGTGCCACTGGAGCTGGGCCTCAAAATACATTTCAGATATTTTGAAGGTCAAGTCTGTAGGATCTGATGGATGATTGGAAGTGGGGGTTGGGGGAAAGGGGAGAATTGATCATGAATCTCAGGTTTGTAGCCTTGATGATTGGGAATGTAAGACACCTTTAACTGATACAGGAGATACAGAGGGGTGGTTTTGTTTTGTTTTGGTTGAAGATAGGAAGAGGCTGGTAATATTAGGTTGTCAGCAGTCAGGACGTATTTTTCTATGCAAAAATGCTTCATGACTTCCTGATAACCCAGTAAGTTGAGGTTTTGATCACACTGGGTTTGAGACTCCATTGAAACACCCACATGGTGGGCTATTTAACGTGGCACAGCAGAAAAAGAACCTAGAGTTGAGTTTCTTTTTCTTTCTTCATTTTTTTAGTCATTGTACTCCGTTTTATTATCTAAACAACAGTTTAATGTATGACATTAATAATATGGGGTTTTTTTTTCTGGCTTTTGTTTTTTTTCTTCTTTTTAAAAATTTATTTTTTATACTCATTCACTGTATATCATTATAGCATACAAAGTGAATTTTCCCATCCAGAATACACTGTATATTGACTCAATCAAAGATACTACCGGGACCGGCAGATGGCGTGGTGGTTAAGGGCACTGGACTTCCACATGGCCGACTGCGGTTTCAGGCCCAGACCTGGCTGCTTACTTTCTCACTTTCTCTCTCTCTCTCTCTCATTTGCTCGCTCTGTCCCTCTTTGGTCAAGTTAAAATAAAGTTAAACAAAAAAATTAAAATCAGCCCTTTAAAAAAAAGATATTACCATACATATTAATCATAGCTATCTGAAAACTTGGACAAACCTATCTGTTTGAGCCTCACCTACAAAATAGGCTCATATGTCAGCCTGCCTTTCTCACAAAATTATTAGGCAATCAGATGGAAAAAATGGATGTGCAAGAGCAAATATTGATGCTAGACGTTACCATTTATACTTAGCAGTTAGAAAATCAGGCCTGAGACTTAGAAGAGTGATGAGGTATCAATCTAGAAGTTATCCACAAAAAGCTCTTAGCTGAATCTCGGAGTGGGCAAGGGTCATATGGGAAAATAAAGTGAAGAGAAAATGACAAAATATGGTCGCCTGGAGAATGCTTTCAATTAACCAGAGAAAGGAACTGAGAGGGAGAAACCAGAGAAGTTAGGAGGATTCTCTCTCCCAGATGCCAAAGGTACAACCACCTGATAAAAAGCTGTGCTCACAGCCCATGCCAAGATGAAGTCTATTAAACTTGCGTTGGGGGCTCAGCAGCTGTGGTAAAGCAGTAATGCAGTGCTCTTCAAGGCTGGAAGCCACATGCTGGCCATAGGTTCAGATACCTGAGTTGGCCTGAAAACATTCTGGGTGTGTGAGGGTGTCCAAGATCCTGAGGAGCTGGAAGGCTGGGGAAGGTGATCATGGTGTGATGAGATCCTTTCAAGGGTGCTTGCTCTTTCTCTCTCTGAAGAAATGAATTAAAACTTTTTTAAAAAGTGTATTTATTCACTCATTTATTATTTTTTTTAATTTGACCAGAGAGAGACAGAGAGAGAGAGAGAGAGAAAGTAAGAAAGCAAGCCACCAGGTCCGGGACTTGAACCGTGGTCGGCCATGTGGGAGTGTCCAGCACCTTAACCACCACGTCACCTGATGGTTCCTTTTAAAAAAATTATTTACCCACTCATTTATTTTTTAAAATTGAATTATTTTTTTTTAAATTGCATCTTCAGAGTGGGGAGAATGGTTTGCAGATACAGGAGTGCAAGTGAATAAGTGGACTGGGTTATAGAATAGTATGGCACAGAAAGAAAGTTGGTGACAATTTAATATATATTTCAAAATAACCAGAAGAACAGGATTTGAACACGTACAACCTAAAGTAATGATACATGTTGCAGATCATGGATATGATTATTATCCTGATTTGACCATTATATATTGTATACCTGGTTTGGAAAACCACACCATACCCCCACAAACATGTATACCTATTACATGTAAATTAGAAATTACGATAAAAGTTTCTTATTTTAAAAAACTGCCTTTTCCTTCTCTCATCCATGACAGAGCCCAAAGCCAGCTTCTTCCTCTTGCCTCTTTTCTCTGTTGGAACAAAGACGAGCCTGATGTCGTTAGTTCAGCTCGATTTCTATTCTGTACCCAGCTTTGTACTAATCACTGTGGATACAAAATGAGTAGGAACTTGGGGTCTGCTCCTGAGAAGTCCCCAGTCTGATAGGGAAGACCAGGGTGGGACGAGAATAAAACAATCAAGACACCTAGGGTAGAAAATGTAAGAAGGTACTTGCTTTGGTGGTCATACAAGTACAGGGTTGACATTTGCATGACCCCGAGAGTGAATGAGTCCTTACATTTCGCACCCTTGGTGCTTGATTGCCTACCCTTGACCTAACCCTGGGAAAGGCTCACACATCAATAAAATAGCTAAGAATGTAACTTTTTTTCTCATTTTCTCCCAGGGAGTAAGATCACAGAGAGAACATGGGAGCTGTGTTTGCACTAAGAGTGGACAAGTAGCTTGTCAGACACCATATAGCTGTAGGGATCAGTGTGAGCAAAGGCACAGCGGAATCGCACAACACAGGGTGTCTGCAGGAAGGGGTGTCTGGGCTGCAGAGGAAGTGGAGAGGACGTATCAATAGTAGAATAGTAGAAAGAGCAAGGAGGGTGGAAAGTGTTGCTGAAAAAACAATAGAGATCAGATTGTGAAGGGCATTGAATGTCTGTTAGAGTGACCAACCATCTCAGATTGCCCAGAATTTTCCGTTTTAGCAATAAAAATTAATCCTGAAAAAGCTCAGTCTTGGCCAGCCAGAGCAGTCTATATTATGTAGTATTCCCATCAGACTTAGAAGCAGTGTAAGACTTTCACAAAAAATGGGTGATACATAATTTTTTGGGGGGGAGGTTTTTGCTATAGGGCGCATGGCATGCACTCGCCAGAAAGACAGAGAGACAGAAAGTGAGAAAT